AAGATATTTACCAAATAAAAGAAAGAACTGGTAAATATCAAAGGTCTGGAAAAGCAGACACCAGAGATGCAATCTGGACATCATTATCTTGATGATAAGACTATGCTTAGCTGCACACACTGTTCAAGTTTCATCATAGCCTTACCACTTGAGACAGTGAGATTGCCCTTCTTAGAAACAGCTAAAAGAAATTCTAGGGATGGACTCAAATTGTACTAGCTTGAGCCACATGAGCATATTTGTGCCTAGAGACACAAACTCCACTAGAACCAATATTCTAGGAGTAGAAAAGGGAAAAGCCTTTCAAAAGAGAAGGATATTTGGCAGGAGGGTGATGTCATAGGAATACAAAACATATGTCCATTAAGATGGGTATTGTTATACCTACTTTACACATGGGGAAACCAGGACTCAGTGATTCAAGTACTTAACAAAGAAATCACACACTAAGGAATGGAGTGAGGAAAGAATCAAGCACAGTATTTTTGTTTTATTTTGTTTTTTCCTCACTATAAAGCTCATTGAATTCTGCTAGGGAAGGAGGAATTAAATAAATTATATACCAGTACTGTATTTTAAAGGAATATACACATAGACACTCTCTGAGAATTACAGATTCAAATAGACCAACCAATATTTAAAGATAGTCAATTGTAAAGGATAATAGCTTTTGACATTCCATTTTTCTGGCTCCTAGCTACAGATTTGCTGAATATGTTAAGTTGGTACACACTTTTGCTATCCCATACTTGATGGCCCCAGAACATATAGAAAGTTCTTCATATATAAAACATATTTTGCAAAAGATGAGAGATAAATGTACCCTACAACAATAAAAACATAATTGAATATTAAACATTCCTGTTTTTAAAATTTCCTCAAACATTTCTGCCACCTCAGGCTCCAGGCTCTTTTCATGTTAATGTGCCCTATTTTTCATTTGTCTCTTAGAAGCAAGTAGTAATCAAAAGTAAAAAGTATTAATAGAGCAACCAGAGAAGAAGTTCTCCCAATATTTCAGATAAATAATCTAATTCTAATAAAGCAATTTTTCCAAAACTTTCATAGGAGCCTAGTTTTTCATGCCTGTGACAATTACATAAATTCAAAAGGAAGAAAACCACAAAGAATGTCTCCCTCCCACCCTTATCTTTCCATTCCCTTCCACAGAGGCAACAATTATTACTAGTGTGTCATCATTACTAATGTCCAAGAGTACAGGATAAATACATGATTGATACATGACCAGATTTCTTTATATTCTTTTCTGATTTAAAAAAAATGATAGCATAATATCAGGTTTAGCCCTGTTTTCATTTTAGATAAATTATCTCATTTGCACTTACTGAGACAGATATTGATTATTCAACAAATTTATTGCTATTCTATACCAAACACAGGTGCTTGGGCTACATCAATAAACTAGGGTCAAAGATCAATGCACAACAATAAACAAAGATCTTTTTTTCTCACAGAACTTAAATTTAATGTGGGAGGACAAGCAACCTGATGAACAACAAATAAGCAAATTGCATAGTGAGTTAAAAGGTGATACTTTTTCTATGCAGGAAATCCAAGCTGGGTAAGGGGAAATTATGTGTGTGAGACACATATAACTTAAAACAATGATGGGGTAAGTATCATTGAGACAGTGACATTTGAACGAAGATTTGAAAGAGGTGAGATATCCATGAGGATATCTAAGGAAGAGTTTCATGGACACAGGGTAAAGTCAAATGTCACATCTTATTTCATTTATTCCTCACTACAAAACTCATTGAATTCTGCTAGGGAAAGAGGAGTGAAATAAATTACCTATCTGTTAGGCTTTGTGCTTCTCTTTTTTTCTCTTTATTTACTAAATAGTCTATATTTTCTTAGTTTAATTTTGAATCTTTTTTGTTTTTGTATTGTAGATTGAATCCCAGGGCATTTAATCACTAAGCCACATACCTAGCCATTTTTTATTCTTTTTTTTTCCACACAGGGTCTCCCTAAGTTGCTGAGGCTGGCCTCACTAAATTGCCAAGGATGGCCTCACTAAATTGCCAAGGATGGCTTTGAACTTGCAATCCTATGACCTCAGCCTCCACAGCTGCTGGGATTACAGGTATGTATCACTACACCTGGCTTTTTAAAACTATATTTATTGTATTTTATTGGGGAGGGAATTCTGGGGATTGAACCCAGAAGCACTTTTTTCCTAAATCTCCCAGCACTTTTTATTTTTTATTTTAAGACAGGGTCTCACTAATTTTGTTAGGACTTCGATAAATTGCTGAGTCTGGCCTAGAATTTGGAGTCTTCTTATCTCAGCTTCCCAAAAGGCCGGGATTACAGGCATGTGCTACTGTGCCTGGCTTGAATCTTTCTTCTTTTAATTTGGAAAGTTTGTCTGTTTTTCTAGTTATTACATTCCCAACTACAATTTTATTTAATGCTTAGTGATTTCCTTATAAAATATCTACTATCTTGATATGCCATAAGCAATAATAGGGGAAAAACACTAATTTTCATTTATTATATTTTTTCTCAAAACATTTATAATTATATATTTATGTGTCTATTACTTATCAGATTTTTTGATCCCCAGCTAGAAAATAAATCCCTTGCAGATCCAACTTTTGCTAGTTGCATCTATATTGGTAGTGTTAGTATAGCAAGTTATTGTCTAGGTGTGTTTTATTTTTGTTACATTATTCTGGTCTTAGTCTTATAGTCCAATTGATTTCATGCTTACCATTGGCACTTTTGCCCTGGATCCTCCATTCATTTCTTTTTTTAAAAAAAGAGAGAGAGAGAATTTTTAATATTTATTTATTTTTTAGTTTTCGGTGGACACAACATCTTTGTTTGTATGTGGTGCTGAGGATTGAACCCAGGCCACATGCACGCCAGGCAAGCGTGCTACCTCTTGAGCCACACCCCCAGCCCCTCCATTCATTTCTTGATAGTCTAAAGTTTGTTTCTCCTGCAAAGGCTCAAGAGAACTCTGCTTCTCAAGTTCTTATATATTGTGTGGAAAATGTGTGAAAAACATGATGTGTCATATTTCTCAAAATCGTATTATTCACACATTTTTAGTGCTGTGAGAAGGCAAAGGAGTACATGTTGAGTAGGCAAATAGTATTGCCATGGTTTGTACCTAGATATGGGAATGATCAAGTTATATTCTAGTAATTGTATTTCTTGTTGAATCCCCAGCTCATCAATGATATGAATCCTATATCTCACTTGCCATTTAGCACTTTGTAGAGCTTACAAATGCATTGGAATTTAAAGCTTAAAAAGGGAACTGAAATGAAAAGTCTTGATATTAAAAAGCAGAACATTCGGGGCTGGGGTTACAGCTCAGCGGTAGAGTGCTTGCCTCGCACTTGTGAGGTATTGGGTTCGACCCTCAGCACCACATAAAAAATAAATACATAAAATAAATAAAGATGTTGTGTCCATCTTTTTAAAAAAGCAGAACATTTGCTAAACTGCATTATGTAAATCAGAAAGCAATGACCAACATTAAAATAATGGTAAGATTATGTTCCCATGTACATACAATACTACATGATTGTTAATAATCATGATTTCAAAATGTATTAATACAGGAAAATACTAATGCTATGGTGATAAGTTTATTTATAAGCAGGATACAAAAGTATATGCTCATTAGTTAAAGTGAGGTTAAGAGTGGCCTATTCATTGGCACTAATTTTTTCCAGCTATAGCTTCCACTCTTGCATTTATTACTTTTATAAAAAAGGGGACAACTACCACTTTTTCATTCATAAAACAGATATTACAGATGTTAATACTTATAAAGTGCTCTGAACAATGTCTGTGCACATGTTATTTTATTCAATGAACACTTTATATTGTTCAGTGAATAAAATAACAATTAATTCATGTGTACATGTACTTTGGCAATGAAAACATGATTAAAGTTTGGATATAATAGGCCAAGATGTCTTCTAGTTCCCCTTTGGCTTGGACCCCTTTTCTGAAACAAAGTACTGATGTTTCTGCAAAGGAATCAAAATCACAAAGCCAGATTTCTATAACCTCAAACCAAGGAATGCTCTCCTCTCTCTCATAAGGTTCACCCTTTCATACCCTGCTTCTCTGCTCTACAGACTTCTCCTACCTCCTCAATTCCACTTCTACCTCCTCTATTTTTATTCCTCTCTTTCTTTTTCCTTTGCAAAAGCCCCTCCAATTTAAATTTATCGCTGGCCAGGGCCCAATGCAGATCTGGTCCCACCCTGTCAACCCTCTTCCCTCTGGTCAGCCAGGCCTTACTGACCTCTCCAAGATCCACATATTCCTTTCTCCCAAGGACCCCTACTCTGCTTGTTTTTTTATCCTTTTCTCCTTCCCCCCCCCCCCTCTCTCTCCTTTGTCATATCATCATCCCTGTCAACCATTCCATGTTCTCCATTTTCCCCCTCTTTTTTAAGCTGGAACCCAAGATTTTCATGGAATTCAGCCAGTTATGCTTGTCTGGACCCTTTCCATGATGATATTTATATCGAAATACATAAATAATATTTATATCTGTGTTGGTATAAGACATATATGATCCAAGCTAGATTATTATTATGTACTATTATATTCATTTTTTTCTTTTCCTTTTTTTTTGTACCAGGGATTGAACTCAGGGGCACTAGACCATTGAGCCACATCCCCAGCCCTATTTTGTATTTTATCTAGAGTCAGGGTCTCACTGAGTTGCTTAGTGCCTCACCCATGCTGAGGCTGACTTTGAACTCATGATTCTCCCGTCTCAGCCTCCTGAGCTGCTGGGATCACAGGCATGCGACACCATGCTCCACTTCATTTTTCTTATAATTAAAATATTTTGTGGGCTGTGAAAAGTAAATTAGACTGTAGGCACAGTGCTTGTTATGTCCAATAGATAAGTCTGACTTACTGAAACCTCCCAACCAAATCCTTCATTTGGCATTTGGAGGAGCATTTGTCACTCCAAAACCCTTAGAACACAGTGCTTAACATTCATGATAATTTTATTCTCGAATGAGCAAACACGAGGCAATAAAGCTTAACTAACAATGTAAGGTAATCCATTTACAAGAAAGATGAAAACAATCCAGAAATGAAAATGCATACTCTAGCCCATCTAGAAGAAGTACATGGTACAATTATGGCAGGCCTTAGGAGAAATGGTTTTAAGCATAATGCATTTAATTTATTATTAAGCAATAATAAAACTAGGTTTTGAGCAGATAACTATATCACATAAATACAGGAGCCTATAAACAAAGTGACAGTTATTAAATGTGGATTTGCTGCAAATTATTCTTATACTAGCAATTTCTCAAATTATAAATCAAGTGTAATTTAGTTAGTGTTACTTGCTACATATCTATAACAAAGAGATGAAGGCACAGCTAGCACAACAGATTAAAGCCTCTTGAGAGGGCTTGGGGAAAGGAGGCTATCAGGTTTTATTGCTTCAAAGGAGAGGAGAAACCAAACATATAAATCTGTTATAAGTTCTGGTAATTTTCCATAGCTGGAGACTAATAGTAACCTGACAAAAACCATGAATTTACAATAGTAAGTTATTCACATGCTTAGAGAGCTCACCTCCTTCTACATTTCTTGACAAAGTTTAAACCACTGTAGTGTTAGGTGAAATGCATTGCTAAATATATATAAACATCATTTTATATGAAACTACCAAGAAGAGATACACACACTAAGATTGCAGGTAATTTATGATTAAGTGTTGGTTATTTTAACTTCCAGTTATTAAACAGAGGGCTCACAAACTCCAACCATTCTACTTCAGCGATCGATGTCTTCTGCCTGGGAGACCAGGTCTTGGACTTTTGCACCATCAACTGCAGCCACCTGGATCTCCTGTGTGATTCTGTCAGAAGTCAGGTTATTACATTCCCTGAACATCCCTTCTTGCTCAGCCTCAAGAGCTTCTCCTGTGAAGTATAACACAGCTCTTGGGATGACAAAGGTGCGCAAAGTGTGAGCAATGAAAACATCTTCCTCATCCTCATCGGCATCTAGGCCCCATCGGAGAGCATTGAAGAAATTGAAGAAGGATTCTCGGGGAAATTCCTGGGTCGTGGTACGCATCAGTCCCCAAAACCTGTGCCTCTGCTTCTTCAGGACCCTTTGCACAGTGACATTCTTTCCCTCCTTCCAGTCTATTTTGCAGCCAATGCAATGCTCCACCGCAGAACCCCTAAAGGGGTGGGGATCTGAGTAATCAAGCTTAGACTTGAGCATGTATGTTTTGGTTAGCACCTCATTCGTAAAGTAGTCATTGGGTTCAAAGTGAAATTCCAACGTGAAGGTGAGAGGCTCATCAGGTTTTGAATACTTGACTTTCACGTCTTGCAAGAGCTTCAGAATAGGCTCATCATATTTCTGAATCAGCGGAGTGATCTCCTGTACATTCTTTAAAACCGTGAGCCAGAAATCAGGGATCCCTTTAGGATCTTCTTTCTCTCCGTCCACATTATGTCCCTCTCCTCCTCCATACTCCCCAAATACCTCCTCAACGTCCTCAAAACCCTCCTCACAATACTCCTCCAAGTCCTCATACTCCGAATTCTCTTCCGGACCATACACCTGAGCCTCAGAGTTCTCTGCCACCTTATAGTTACAGTCTGCGACCGTGGATTTCACCTCACATTCCTCTTTCGTGGGCTCATACAATGCATTGATGATCTGACGTCTCTTTTCCAGTAAAGGCCCATAGATCTTGGCAAATTTCCTCTCGATGGAATGAAATTCCTTGAGGTACTTTGCCTCCAGGCCGGCGGATTTAGCCTGAAGCTTTTTGAGAGCATACACTCGGCACTTAACTGCCAGAGGCAGACTCTCAATAAAGTCCGCGTCTAAGGAGTACCCCAGCAAAAGCTGCGGAGAGGCTGGGGCTGCCACAGCGCCCAGTAACGGACCCACTGCACCGGCTGCGCCTTGTTCTCCGAGCCCTTCCATCTTCAGTTTTTTGACGGGAAAAGACTCACCAAAGTGAAGAAGACGGCTTAGCCTGGTCCGTAGGCACCAGCGGGGGCCAACACAGAGGCAGAAGAGGCAACGGCTGCTGGAGAAGCTGGCGTAAGGTGGAGCGCGCCACGGAGGACGAGGCGGGCGCTATAAGAAAGCAGGCGTAGGGCGAAGGCAGAAACAGCCCACTGAAGACCTCTTCCACTAGCTGCCGTGGCAAAAAGAGGAGGTGCCGTAAACCGACTACACAGAGAACCCTCTGAACGCCTCTTTTGGCTTCACATCTCACCCTATTTGCTGAATGACGGTGATTGACAAGGTCTCGTCCAATGAGTGACTAGATCCAGCACATCTCTAGCGCCACCCACCTTCCCAGAGGTAGCAGCTCCAAGACGGGAGGGGGATTTACTGAAGAAAATTCGGGAGGGGAGGAGCTGGTTGAAACTGCTTGAACAGTAGTTTCAAGAAAGCCTGAGAAAACTAACCAACAAGAAAGGAGACCAGAAAGGTGACTCAAAAGTCTTCTGTTCAAATACATGAACAAAGAGAAGGGAGAGAAACACCAAAATATTAAGAGTGGAAATCTTTAGGTGATGTGATTCCCCAGGGATTTTTAATTTTCGAATTTTGAATTTTCAAAATTTCTTTGAAGGTGTGCATTCTTTTTAGATTTGAGCCAAACTAATACTATTTCCCGGAGAGGAGTGGGTGAGATGGAATGAGGATGGAAGAAAGAGAAGACCTATGGTGACTGGTGCCCACAGTCAAATGTATATATGACTAGTTAATACTTTACATCTGGGTTATCAATATCCCAGAGTATTACTGCTGAATTGCCAATTATGTTTTGTCCATGATGGTTATTTTGGAGTCAAAATAAAAGGATGCTCCAATGTGATGTTAAGGAAAATCAAAACATTTGCCTTGAAATTCTGTATAGATTGTAAATATTTAATGACCCAGCACTAGTGAAAAGGTTAAACACATGATCATGTGTTCAGAAGATGACATAACATGGAAAACATCCCATTACAAATTCCCTAAGGTAAAGAAAACAGGGTGGCTTTTTGCGGGTAGGGGGTGTGTGATACATCAATACAGATCAGGTATAACAAAGATTTTAATTGTTAAAGAAGATTTATTTCTGATTTAACAGTTTATTCATTAGTGTTGTAATAGTTAGGATGTCAGTGTATTTATTTCCAGATTTTTAGATATGTGTGAATGTGTTTTAGTTTTAGAAAAGTATCATTACAGTATTGTTTCAGTGTTTCTACTCACTTTATCTCACAGCCTCCCTTTTAGGTGATGGGTTTCTAAGGTGATTGGTGGTTTTATATTTGAGGTGTTGCCTTATACCGTTTTCTGTACATCCATATTTTCATTAAACAAACAATCTTGATGAGAAGGAGGAAGAGGAGAAGAAATGAGATTTGTAGAAGAAAAATAGGACAAGAATGAGATTATTCCCACTAGGGTAAATGGTCCATGTTAGGGAGTCATAAAGTTGGTAGGTATTGCTTAAATAGAATATGAAAAAAGTTGTTTTCCTCAAAAACTATCATATCAATAATCAACTACTCTCTGTTTGTGCTTGCACATGTTCAATTAAAACACATTGCACTTAAAATAGAACAAAGGCAAATAATATGTGAAGTTTCAGTCAAGGTTCAGGTTCAAGTATCTGTGCCATATTTTCATAGTTTAGTCCTAAAATGCTCTCATTAAATTTTCAAATTTCTGCAATTACAAAATCTCTTTTCCTTTTCTGATAATAAATATACGCTTATTTTAGAAAATTTGGCAAATTATGGATTTATAGTGGATAAAGGAAACCACTAGCAATCTAGCCATTTTGAGAGAATTAATGCAAAAACATTAGTGTCTTCTTTTCTTCCTTGTGCATGTACATTTCAAAAAAAATACAATTGTATAGTATTGACTCTTCAATATCTGCTTATTTCCCCTCTTAGATTCCTATTATAGGCATCTTCCTATTTTAATAAATACTCTTCAAAATTATGATTTAAAAGATTATCTATTGGTATTTAAGTAATTAAAATTGTTTAGTAAATAACAAATGAGATCAAATGAAGAATACTATTCATTTACATGACTTCAAAATTGTAAATTTCTCCTTATAGTCACAAGCAGTCTTAAAGTAAAAAGGAAAACATCTTTAAGAGTACATGAAATTAAACATTGTTAAGGAGCAGTAATCAACATATACTAGGATTCACCCTTATCAACCAGCAACTTTGGCTATAAATCTTGTTCTTATGTTCATGAAGTTAAACAATAATTTATCTCACCACCTCAATAATCTTGACACTTGCTGCAATAGTGCTGAATCAAGACTTCTGTGCTGTTTTAACAAGTATCAGAATGCTATATCTGGAGATGCAGAATTTGGGATAATTTAAATTTTTTCTTTTGTATGCTTGTCAGTATTTCTGACCTATTAGTTTTGCAAATGATGAGGAGAAAAGAATGGAGTCCCAGCCTTTTCAACAGAAAATAACCCACCTCCCTTCAGAGGGAGCCCAACTCAAATATGGGTTTGGTCATGGGAAACACTAATTCACTACTTTTAGTGTCTTCTGCCCCACTTATATGTTTTCTTTAAATATAGCCTTGCATGCTCCAGGCATTTCAAAACACTTTAATTCCATCATTTATTTTCTAAATAATAGCAGGCTAAAACTTTTGGAACTCTTATCAACCTAGAAATATGTTACTGTATTAGTCAGTGTTCTCCAGAGAAATAGAACCAATAAGATAGATTAGATAAATAAGATAAAATATTTATTAACCATCATGAGAGGAAAATATGCATTTATATTTTCTTTTATAATTATATAATTGTCTTTAAAATTACTCTTTGTTTTTTCATGTACTTTGAGAAACAAAAGTAGTTTTCAGAGTATCAAGAAGTTTAATACAAATCCTCATGATACCCAAGTACAATAGCAGAACACAAGTAACACTACTAAACTCCTTCTGTTTAAACTTACATTTGGGTTGCTTTTTATATATTATAATTAAAGTAAATGTGATTTACAAACATTACAATTCCAGAATGTTTTAGGAAGCTTTGATTGGCATACAGTAATAATTCAGTAACTACTGCTAACTCCTACTTTGCAAAAGATTTGTTTTGTATAGTGCAGCTTGTTCTATCTAGTTCATCCTTCATTTAACTATGAAAATTCTTTATCTTTGCTCTATTATAGAACTTTAATTAGCTGAAAATGGAAGTCCTATATAACACTATAATAATTCTCATTCTAAAATGAAGGAATAAAATCAGAAAACCAGATCAACACTCTAATTCGCACTAAGAACAGTGACAGTAATATCAAATATACACTTGCTGGTCAATTTGATTGATTGATTGAATGATTGATTTCAGAAACATCCTTCAGTAGGTGGTATATGGAAATATACCTTACAAAAAAATGGCAACTTAAATACTATGGTCTAGGTTTAAGATATTAAGTTTAGAGGACAATGTGTGGGCTTCAAGAAGAACAAAATCTCCAATGAATTGATTGGGCTATCTTCTAAAAACAGCATAGCTAATACAAAAAAAAAAAAAAAAAAAGAAAGAAAAGCGTCCCCCTTGGAATATATTTATAGTAGAATGAAGAAAATAACAAATTAATGTGGGTCTGGATTTGAATTCTTTATGCATAGTGGTCAAGGGGTTTTGCTGGGCTTTTAAATCCCCAATATACTCATACCACTTTGCCACCAAAAACACCATCTCTATGAACCTCCCAAAAATAAATGCACAGACACTTTTTTTCCATAGACGAAATCACACCATTCCTACATCTTACATAGTTTATGTTTACAGGTTGTCGTTATTATTAACCAGATAGGACTAAATAACAAAAATTAAATCCTATATATAACTTTAGTTATTTTTTCACATTATAATTTCCCTCTCCTTCATGGCTTTGCTGTATTTGAACTCAAAATAAACTTTTGGAAAACAAATGACTTATATATGAGTTTATAGGTAGAGAAATACCTTATTTTCAGACTTTAAGTGTTCTCACCACAAAAAAAAGATAAATATGTGAGGTATTACATACGTTAACTAGCTCTATTCATTCTACGCAATATATATGTTTTCAAAACATATGGGGCTGTAGCTCCGTGCCAGAGCACTTGCTTAGCATGTGTGAGGCACTGCATTTGATCCTTAGCACCGCATAAAAAACTAAACAACAAAAAAGCATGCTGTCCACCTACAACTTTAAAAAAATTCCCATGATGTATGTGATAAATATATACAACTTTAATTTGTTTAGTAAAGATAAAAAACTATAAAATTATTGTAAATAAAACTTTGTATTCCTGCTTAAAAAAAAGAAATTGCTTAAATCCAACAAGTATTCCCAATCTTTTTCAAAATGTGTTTTATAAAGGCCTTTTTATTTGGAACCTGAGAGATTTATTATGATTCCATGACTAATTATGAAATCCTCACCACATATTTTCCCCATTCAGCTTCTTCATCAGAAAATGAAGCCCTGAGTCATATAATGTTGGGAATAAATCACAAATTTTCCAAGTTCCTCCTCATGCTTTATAAAGACTAGTTAAATTTACAAAACTCATCCAGGAAAATTTTTCAAAACTTGATGAATGATAATAGTCTTGAGAAAGAGAACAGGCAGGTAATCTAGTACTCACAGTACTCTTCTGCCTAACATAAACAATCTAACAACACCAATATAAGAAAAAGCCACTGATAATGATGGATTGAGATTTAAAAAAAAAAAAAACCTCTGTAGAAAAATACACGGACAGTGTTCAAAGCACAAAAATGAACAAAACACTCCCTTTTCTTGGCCAGTAGGAGTAACTGCTTCTACATTACTGATTACAGTTTGCTTTATAATCATATAGCCTATGCGCTAGTCTCCTCTAGCTTGCTTACGCACTCACCTGAATTGCCTAAAGCAAATAAAAATCCAATAATAAATCCTTTTTTAAAAAATGATTTGTAGTTGGACACAATACCTTTATTTTACTTATTTATTTTTGTGTGGTGCTGAGGATTGAACCTGAAAGGAAAGTGACCACAACACTCGGAGCAACCAAAAGATCTTTATTGCAGCAGTGCAACAGAGGAGAAAAGAGAGAGAGAGAGAGAGAGGAAGCACTCGCAAGAGACAGAGAAAGCAAGAGAGAGCAAAAGAGATAGAGAAAGCAAGAGAGAGAGGGGCCTGGCAGGAGGG